CCACTAGAACTTCGCGTGTGCTACCTTCTGTTACTACTACTACCACCACCACCACCAGCACTACTACTACTGCTGCTACGACCACGACTAGTATTAATATCCTTACTACTACCACGATTCCCACTACCACTATTGCTACTACAATTTCTACTCCAGCTACCACGGGTACCAATATTGCTACTGACAACGGGAATCACAGCACAGTGAATGCTATCAACAGTGTTATTATCAGTACATTGGCGAGACCTGCTAGCATCCCTTCAAGTACTGCTACTTCGGTCACTATTACCATCACCCGCACTCCTACTGTTACGACTATTGCTACTATTCACATGTCCGTTGCCATAGCTACCACCACCCCGACTATTGCTACCATTCTCGCTACTATGGCACAACCTTCATGGGTACACTTGAGGCGACATCTACGCTTGCGCCCTCATTGCGACTACGGTTACCGTGACTACGATCCCAGTACGAGCACCACGTCTACTAAGATTGTGATTTCTACGGCTACGCTTATCACGCGTGTTACGACTATTAGTATTACGATGCGTATTTGTGTTGCGGTTATATTTGCCATGAGTGTTTCTTCGCTCACGGTGTTGATTGCTTATTTTATTTAAAAGTCTACTCTACCACTACTTGTACTATTATTCGTCCAATAGAAATATTAACGCCACGATTCCAACCACAGCTACTACCACTACTACTACTACTACTACTACTATTACTACTACTACTACTACTACTACTACTACTACTACTACTACTACTACTACTACTACTACTACTACGACTACCACGACTACTACGACTGCTACGACGACTACTACTACTACTACTACTACCACTACTACTACTACTACTACTACTACTACTACTACTACTACTACTACGATGACGACTAGTGCTGCTACTACTACCACTACGACCACACTTATTGCTCGGGCCATTCACGTCGAGCCACTCAACCGACCTGCTGACGAGTAAGTACACGTTGTGATTTCGTACGACGTCTATTGTTAGTGTTGCCACTGTGGCTGCTGATACTCCCGCTGCGGATACTTGTAGTGCGACCACTACCACTACAGCTACGTCCACTGCCACCTGAGCTTCTTTTTCTACTATCACTTACTAAGGCGACTACGGCGACTACGAGTACGACTCTTATTACTACTCGTACTACTAGTTCTAGTGTTACTACCACTACTACTACTACGTTCCACTACTACAAATACGTTTACTAATATTGTTGCATTTACTATTGCTCTTACTCTTACTCTGATGGTTATTCTTACGTCTACGATTCGTAGTATTCCTACTACTACTACTACTACTACTACTACTACTACTACTGATACTGCTACTACTGCTACTACTACTACTACTACTACTACTACTACTACTACTACGACTGATACTACTACTACTACTGCTGCTGCTGCTGCTGCTGCTGCTGCTGATGCTGCTGCTGCGGCTACTACTACTACTATTACTACTACGGCTACGGTTACGATTCTTATTACGACTACTATTGCTACTACTATTGCTACTACTATCACCGCCACCACTACTACTACTACTACTACTACTACTACTACTACTACTACTCTTACTATCACTATTTCTATTATTACTACTACTACTACTACTACTACGACTACTACCTTTAGTACTGCTGCTACTATGATTGGTGTTACCCTTACTGCTGCTACGACTTGTGCTTCTGCCACTACTGATACGATTACGGCTACTACCTTGTCTACTACTTTTATTGCGGCTACTACTACTACTACTGCGACTACTGCGACTTACTACTACTACTACTACTACTACTACTACTACTACTACTACTACTACTACTACTACTACTACTACGGCTACTACTAATATGACGTCATTTGCGACGCTTGCTACTGCGACTGTTTCTGCTACTTCGGTGGGTCCTACCATTATTGCGCCTTCTACCACCTGTATTGTTGCCACTACCATTGCCATTACTTGTGCTACTTCGCCGACTACCTCTGTTACTACTACTACGACGGCTACTACTACTACTACTACTACTACTACCACCACCACTACTACTACTACTACTACTACTACTACTACTACTACTACTACGGCAACTGGTGTCGCTATTCCTGCGACCTATTTCTACTACTAGTACTGTTTCTAGCACTCGTATTTTTATCACTATTACTACTCGATTTTCTATTCCGACTTCTGCCACTCTTTCTGATAATATGTCCGTTAGTAGTCTTTCTGCTATTACTATTATTACTACGACCATTTCTAGTAGTGCTATCTACTGCGGTTACTACTACTACTACTACTACTACTGCTACTACTACTACTACTACTACTACTACTATTGCTACTACTACTACTACTACTACTACTACTACGACTACGACTACTACTACTACTACTACTACTACTACTACTACTACTACTACTACGAGCACTACTACGACTACGACTACGATTGTTACTACGA